TGGCCTCTCAGTGCCTGAGTCCAGGAGCTCCCATCCCAGCAGGATGGAGGGAGCTGAGAGGAGGCAGACAGCATTTAGGTATAATTTTATGCATTGGTATGAGCAGAATGCTGAGCCCCAACCCCAGTCCCAGCCTTCTTGTTGTCTCAGGAATGTCCTCCACCTGCATCTGCCTGTGGGCTTCACTGCCCCCACCTCAAACCCCTCTTCCTTCTAACCCCTTGTAGGCTCCCATGCAACTGGTCTGGAGGTGCAGGCTGGGACAGAAACACCTGCAGATCAACACAGAGCAGAGCACTCTGTATTTAACCCCTCACATTCCAGCACTGACTCCCAGCCTCTGCCCACCCCATTCTCCTGTGTTGTAAACAAAACCAGACTTGCCCTTAACCCTCTCCCATCCAGGGAGTTTCCTCAACCCTCCCTCAGAGCTCCCTGCTTCTCAGCAGAGTCATAGCTCCTCCTTGTGGCCAAAGCGAAGCCCTGTGCCAGGACCCAATTCTCCCACAGAGACAGTAAGGCAGCACAGGTCTGAGAGAAGGACATGCAGTCAGAGGGCTGTAATTAGGCCCCAGTCCGCCCATCTTAGAGTGAAGTCTCAACCATGATGAGGCATATTGTTGTAGCAAAACATGAGCTCTAGAGATTTCTCAGCATTCTGTTCATACCAATGCATAAAATTATGCCTACATGTTGTCTGCACATAAATTTTATGACTTCACATACTTGGTTACAATTTTCTGCCTGTCACTCTCTCCTTTTCCCTGTACTGTCCTTTGTGACTCCAGTATTCCATCCCTAAACCCCCAGCCCCCCTCTCTTCTTCCTTTTACCCTAAAACATGATTTGAAGTAAAGGCAACTGTGAGATACTTATTTTACTGGTAAGATTACTAATTTTACTTTAAGCCAGGTCTCATTATTGAAATGGACCCACCATTCAATTTCAAGTTCAGATACGGGGCATGTAAATGGTTTCTCCTCTATCTTTGAGAGCAGGGTTGACAAATCGTGGCTCAGAGGCAAGTCTGGCCTACAGCCTGCTTCAGTGAATGAAGTTTCACGGAACCAGGCTGCACTCACTCATTTGCATAGTGTCCTCAGCTGCTTTCATGCCACAACAGCAGAGTAGCTATAACAGGGACCATGCTGCCCGCAAAGCCAGAGCCAAAATGATTCATTCTCTGGCTTTCTACAGGAAAAGTTTGCTGACCCCTGCAAACAATTTTATGGAGAGGATCACCTGTAGCTAGAGTAGAAATGACCCCCAAACGAATGCCATCCTCGAGCAGGGTTCTCAGGGAAACCCAGGTCTGGTTCCAGGGTTCACTTTACCCAGAAAGAACATTCTAGTCCAGCCTTGGGCAAACTACGGCCCGCGGGCCGGATCTGGCCCATTTGAAATGAATAAAACTAAAAAAAAAAAAAAAAAAGACCATACCCTTTAATGTAATGATGTTTACTTTGAATTTATATTAGTTCACACAAACACTCCATCCATGCTTTTGTTCCGGCCCTCCGGTCCAGTTTAAGAACCCATTGTGGCCCTCGAGTCAAAAAGTTTGCCCACCCCTGTTCTAGTCACTGATTTTCTATATATGACAAAGATTACAAATTCAGCTTAGACGCTCAGGTTAGCATCAACATTATTACACAAGCATATGCTTTATACCTTGGTTTTCATTGTAATTTTGCTGCCCTGTTTACCTCAGATTTTTAGTAAGTTTCTTAGTACATCGTTTTTCAAGGAGTGGAATTCTTATTTTAAAAATGTCCCTGCACATGGCAGTCATAAAGGGCCAGTATGGCCTCCGTGAATAAAGCTGCATTAACCAGGAAAGTGGCTGGAGAAGCTATGGAAAGAGAAAAACAGACTCCCTCAAGGAAAAGAGCATAAAATTGCCGTTTGAGGCTGGTGACTCCTGCTCCTGCCAATGCGAAAGTCAACAGATTTGCTGGAGCCCAATCAGACTGCAGTTCAGGCACAAGTTTACATAGTCCTCCAAGGCCACTAAGTAATGTGCGTGGGAAAGAGAAGTGACAAATACAGATTAATTAAATACAGACACGTGCCCCTGGGCCACCCTGTGCTTGAAGTTAGGAAAAGAAGTATAGGTACCAACATACTCTGCATATGTGGAATATGGGCATCCCCCCCAACCCCACAGCTGGTGGCTCTGTTTATGGGAGGGGGCGGAGGAAGCAGACTCCCATGCAATTTGGCATGTTTGGCACTGATTGTCAATGAAAATTCATTGACGTTATCCAGAACAAAAGTTTGGCACACATCAAGTACAAGCAAGAATATTTTGGAATTCTGCAGGGTCAAACTTCAAAGAATGATTTACAGTATTTCAGAAGGAAAAGGCACCTTGTACATCTAAGCTCCTTTACAATCATGCAAGGATATCTCCTTAGATTTGTTCACCCAGTTTACATCAATGACAAACTGCATATATATACACAGAGACTCCTCGTGCTGATTCAGGATTTGCCTGGCCCCGTCAACAGGGAGCTTTGTCCTAGTCACTTTCACTTAGAATATTAATCACTTTCACCTAATATTCAGATCTACTCTGCTCCATCCCCCTTCCACCACAGCTACCACCATCAGTGATCTTTGATTTTTTCCCCACTCTCATTTTGTTCAACCACCTACCTAATGTTTGGTGTGCACACCCCTAGTAGTTTTCAACATGATTTTAGATAGTGCACAAATGAGCAGAGAAAAATTCACCAGCACACAAAATATCAATGTCTTTGCTCAAGAAGAGACACAGGAAAAAAGTCCATTTAAATATCAAAATGTCACTTACATTCCAGGCACTGTGCTAAGTGGCTTCCTTGCTCCATGTGTGAGATTTGTATGTGAAGAACTGAGGTCTGGAACCCATCACTTGGCATCTCCCCCCCCCACCCCCATCCCCACTGCTGCTTTAGATGACTGAATCATCCCACTGCAGCCGGGCAGGCCCACATTCCTTTGTCTCCAGGTATTTACTTGGGAATTTGAAATCAATCCTAGCTAACTCCCCTTATCTGGCAATCTCCACTCTTCCTGGAGGAAGGGGTCCAAGTAATAAAGCCCAGGACACGCAGGAGAGAACTGTCTAGGACATAGCAGCACACACTCCAACTATTGTGAAAGCTCTGCTCTAAGATGTAGTGTTTCTCATATGGTCCAAGAAGTCTGGCGAGGTTCAGGAGAAGTGTCAGGGTGATGTAGAATCACACGACTCCCCACACTTCACTGTGGAGGTGTCAGCAGTGGGAGGTAATTGAACAGAATGAGAAGACTCTCCTTTCTGGGCCTGACCCTTCTCTTACTCCTTAGTATTTCCTGATTTTTAGGGGCCAATGAAAAGCAACTTGCTGCCTTATGAACCACTCAGTCAGTAGTCACCCAATACCTATATGTCCTGAAACTAAAGGCACTTTCCCATATGGCCTGAGGAGCTACCTTGCCCATCCTTTCTCCTTTGATCAGTCATTCTCAGCTGGAGATGATTTTGATCCCTAGGGGGAAATTTAGCAGTTGTCATAACTGGGAGGAGAAGTTAGTGCCACTTGTAACCAGAGGCCAGAGATGCTGATAAATATGCTACAGTATGTGGGGCATTCCCCACATAAAAGAGTTATCTGGCCCAAAGCTCTTCTAGTAAATCATCTTTGTATCAGCAAAATTTCAAATGTAAAAGAAACAGAAACTACTTCCAGAGGGATGATTTATTAAAGCAGAAATAGCACGCTGGTAGGCCACTCAGGTGTATTGCGTGCATGTAGAAACTGGCTACGTGTGGGTGTAGAAGCTGGAGGTTAGTTCTCACTGAGAGTCACATATTCTGGATACTTCTTCTGTGCCCCATTATGATGATGAATCCTGTTCTGGACCCCATTTCTTGGATTTTTCAGAATTTGATATGCTCCCCAGAGTCATCCCTTAATTTGACAGAGCTCAGATTGTTCTCTCTGCTCATGTTTATGGTATCACAGTGGAGGACATGAACCCTAAATTGAGGCTGCTTGAGTTTGAACCCTGTGCTGACTACTTAATAGCTATAAAACTTTCAGCAAAACACAAAACTTCTCTAAGCCTCACCCTCATCTACAGAATGGTAAAATTTATAGCAATAAGTCATAAAGTTGTTGGCGAGGATTGGGTGAGTTGATGTATGTAGATTCTCTCCACAGTGTTTGACGATAGTAAGCACAACCCAAATTTCAATTGTCTTATCATTGGCCAAGAATTCTGTATTATCTTGATCTTATGATTTTGGTGAACTTATTAGGGAAGTATTGCATAGACTCTGAAGTTCCTAGGTTGGAATCCTGACCCTAGCATGTATTTGTTGCATGATTTTGGTCAAGTGTCGAATACTTCTATGCGTCTCCATTTACCCATCTGTAAAGGGGGGGATAATAATAGGTATCTTATGGGCTTCTTATGAGAATTATTAAATTAATATAGGCAAAGTACTTAGAAAAGTCCTGATATATAGTAAGTTCTGGATAAATGTAAGTTATTTTCACTCTCCTGTTTTAAATCAGAATAGTTTCCCGCTTCTCAGGGGAACAAGTTGTTTCTATTCAAAATGAAAGTTAACATGTATACACAAGACACAGAAAAATTATATAATTGTGAAAGAGCCAGTATTAATTAAACATCAAGGGTATGGAGTTCAAGGTAGTCTTCAGGATAAAAGTTTACAGTTGGAACAACCAAGTACCTCAGATTTTTGTTTGGGAATCAGGACACCTGTAGCTCTGTTCTGTGACCTTACTCCAACTTACTTTTCTATTATGGGAATAGTTCCCACCAGGTGGGGTCATTACTTTCATTCCCATGACCTTCTGGAAAAGTGGTTGATGTTTAAATTTAATGCTGAATTATATTCAATTTGGCACAAAAATGAATTCTAAATTTGGATTTGTGTGTTTCCAGTGAAGTCACTTTTTCTGGCACCTGTGGTCATAGGTGTCAATGACAAACCTGGAGGTATAAATAGCAGTGGATGTAAACCCTTCATCCCACTGCCCACCAGAACCAGTGAGCAACCATGAAGGCCTTCATCTTCCTTGCTCTCCTGGGAGCTGCTGGTGAGTCTCTCTTACTAAATGAATAAGTAGGTGTCTTGCATATATTTAAGTTTGCAGTTTGTACTTTGGAAGACAATGAATGTTGAATATATCTCAGTACTCAAGAAGCTTAAAATGTTGAGGCAACAGTGCATAGTACCTGTGTCTATAGAGAAATAAATCTCACTTATTTGGGAAAGATCACTAGACAGGAGTGATCAGTGTAGATCAAGTATAAAGAGGCAGCACCTGCCCTCAAATTCAAGGTAAAAATCTATGAAGAAGAGGGAAAAGGAAAGGACAGTCAACAGAAAAGAAATGTTGCTTTGACCTTTCTAAGGATTTGGAGTTAATACCTAGGAAAAACGACTAATCTTTTGCTGCTTGCAGAGGCTGTGAGGGTCAAAGCCTGAGTCTCCTCTAGACTGAAGGGCATCTTAGCAGGGATCATAGCAGGCAAAGATATTTTATTTCTCATGAATAAAAGCTATGGGTTGGGTTTTACAACATCTTCGCTAACAAAATCTCACCAGTGTAAATCATCAAAAGAGATAGAGAAATGAGTACTTTTACACTATGAAAACTTACTACTATGTTTTCCAAAATTGGGCAAGTTTAAATTTAATATAGCTGTCTGTATGCCTGGAAATGTCTTTCCCAAAATTACTTTAAAATACTTGAACAATAGAACACATATAATGTAATGAAAAATTTTGATGCCATAAGAAATCTTAGTATATCTGAATAAATTGAAAAATGTTGGAAAGATAATTGGGATAAGGGGAAAGGTTGGAGACAGAAACCTTATAATGTTCTATGAAATTATTTTGTGAAGATTATAGATGAATAGATGAAGGCCAAGAAGAGAAATTTCAGGGTGTGGGTAGTACAAAATTCCCATTTTCTTCCAGGCCAGAACATTCTCAGGTGGCTTCTAAAAGCTTCCTTTGGGTTACCACCTGGGGTTATCTATCCTATACCAACCACCTCAAACAAACATAACCTTGGGTATCACAAAGCTTTACTGAACACCTATTTGCATGGCTTCTCAGCACAGTTTTATGTAAAAAGTATTCTTCATATTCTTAGGTAGTGGTTGGTGTTCAGGACATTTATTATGTAAAGTCTTTTATCTGTGTGTGTGTGTGGGGGGGTGGCATCACATATATAAAAACTGTATATTTATCAAATTTAAAGCATAAATTAAATATTAGATACTTATCATGGTATAAGTAGGGTATGTGTTAAAGATATAGAAAAACTAGGTTTTTAAAATTTTACATTAAATATCACCATTTTCTGATTATATGGGACAGGAAAACATTATCTGAGCTTTTCTGGTTAATCTACTAAAACTTGGTGGTGAGTCAACATTCCAAGATGGATCTGTTTCACAGATAGTTTCCAACTTTTCTCTGTCAGTTGCTTTCCCCGATGATGATGATGACAAGATTGTCGGGGGCTACACCTGCCGAAAGAATTCCATCCCCTACCAGGTGTCCCTGAACGCTGGCTACCACTTCTGTGGTGGCGCTCTCATCAATGACCAGTGGGTGGTGTCCGCTGCTCACTGCTACAAGTCGTAAGTAACCAATACTCACATCCCTGATCAACTCATTCCCCAGCCCTGCCAAAGCACAAGCAGGGTAAATTACGGAGTTATAATTGAAGGGTGAGCACTCAGGTTCTAAGAGCCTCATTATTCTCCCAGGCATTGAATGATTCACTGATGGACTTTCACATGGTGTCCTAAGGGTTCCCTGATGTCTTTCCAAATAAAGACATGGAAGGGGAAATAGTGAGTGATAAAGTATATACTTAGAACTAGCTTCAGAGCATTAATCATGAAATAGTCCTAATCATTATAGCTCAACCAGAAAAGAATGCCATATGGAGGTAATAAAATAGATGAAATGTCCAGTGCACTGAAAATAAACACAACTCATTCTGCTCCTTAATATCTTGTCATGTCTCTGATTGCTGCTGCATCTCTCTACAATAATTGGTAACTCCAAACAGAGGAGAAAAGCAGGTGCTGATTAATTGCCACTAATTCTCTTTTTACCCTCATTGTTTTATTGGTGTCATTTGGTTCCCATTCACATATCTTACTACTCCAACACAAAGGTGGGCTGTCAGTCTGTGCCTGTAGTGATACCTACCTAAGGACTCCTCTAACTGTACCCTATCTGGTGGGACTGCCTAAAGTGTACAATTACTGTGTGTGTGTGTGTGTGTGTGTGTGTGTGTGAATGCTTGAAGGGGGTGATGTCTGTGCTTATGCTCATGACTGGGGTGTACTTTTAAAGGGGAAAGTTCAAGTTAAATAGAGAATTTTTAATCCTTTAATCCAGTCGAATCCAGGTGCGTCTGGGAGAGCACAACATTGAAGTCGTTGAGGGCAATGAGCAGTTCATTAATGCAGCCAAGATCATCCGCCACCCCAAATACAATGCCCGCACCATCGATAATGACATCATGCTGATTAAGCTGAGCTCACCTGCCACCATCAGCTCTCGCGTCGCCACTATTTCTCTGCCAGGAACTTGTGCAGATGTTGGTACCCAGTGTCTCATCTCTGGCTGGGGCAACACCCAGAGCGTCGGCAGTAAGTGTCACCTGAAACATAGGCACCAAGTCTGAGAATCCTAGAGGCAAAAGGCATATGGAGGGCCAGTTAGTCCAAACTGTCACTCAAGACAAGGTTCACAGAGTAGTCTGTGGATATATGGAGTCTTAGATTATGTTAATGGAAATGAGGAAGATTCCTTTGTTGAAAAATAGAGCACTAATGAACTATGATGAAGATGCCAGGTATTCAACATAAGTGACTAGTGATTTGCAGAGAACTAGGAACTGAGAGGTAAACAGAACCGATACTAAGGAATTTGGGACTGCCTGAAGTATAAACCGACTTAATAAAGTCTCTAAATTTGAAATCTCTGGTCACTGATGCTAGTCTCAGAGAACAACTTGTTGATTAAAACTCTTTGGAAGGCCTTTCAAATAAAAGTTGTTCTTCCAAAGTAGAAGTTACTAATAATCTGAATGAAAGAGTTGGGAGTTGGGGTATTGGGAAGGGCAGGAAGAAATCATGGAAAAGAAATATTTTAGAAATCCTGTAACCTTCATATATATATATATATATATATATACTTTTTATTGTTGATAGTATTAGAGATATCTCCTCTCCCCCCGCCCTTTATTCCCATCCTCCCAGCCCCTACCTCCCCATGACTTCACTACCATATTGATAAGCATATAAGTTCTTTGGTTTATTTCTTCTCATCCCTCCAACCCCACATTGAGGTATGTCAGTCAGCTCCATGCCTCCATGCTTCGGGTCTTATTTCGTTGGTCAATTCATTCACTCATTAGATTCCACAAATAACCTTCTTCCATTTTTACTCCTGCACCCAACAGCTAACTACCCTGAGCTCCTGCAGTGCCTGGATGCTCCCGTCCTCTCTGACAGTGTTTGCCGCAAAGCCTACCCAGGCCAGATCACCAACAACATGATGTGTCTGGGCTTCCTGGAGGGTGGAAAGGACTCTTGCCAGGTTAGGTTCTTTGTACCCTTTTTCTTTCAAGCTCCATCTCATGCATCTCCACCAAATCTTCTGAAATACAGAAGATTAAAAGGCTTTTTCTGGAACTGATCATGAGGAGTGAGGGGTAGATTTGGGATAAGTGATCACTTTTCTTTTTGCCATATGAGTGGTTAGAATTAAGGGTAAAAAGATACATAGAAGATGGTGTGCAAATAGCACAGCTAAGGTACCCTTCTGATGAGGTCTATTGTAGAAGAACACTCTGAAAGAGCAGGGCTAGCTGGGAAGCCTTACACTCTGTATTACCACCTCTTCTTGGCCCCATATGCCTGTAACTAAGGAAAGAGGAGGACCTAGAAGGAGAGGGGAGGAAGAATGGGGATGTAGTGTGGAGATTGAGGGTTGAAGGGGCTTCATGGAGGATCAGCAGCAGCCTGGGAAGATAGCCTCGGGATAATGTGGGAACATCTTTGAGCCTTTATCCCATCTGGATGTGGTTGAGAATTCTAAATGGCTTTTCCCTCTTGTTTAGGGTGACTCTGGTGGACCTGTGGTCTGCAATGGACAGCTCCAGGGCATTGTCTCTTGGGGCTATGGCTGTGCTATGAAGGGCAAACCTGGTGTCTACACCAAGGTCTGCAACTACGTGAGATGGATTCAGGACACCATGGCTGCCAACTAAGCACATTTATCTCTTCCTGACCCATCCCTGTTAGACAACTTCATCTTCCTATGCCTAAAACAGTACCTAAATAAAAATATTTTGTCCTGCACTAAATATGTCTAAGAACTCTCCTTACTTGGTATTATAAACTTTCTCTGGAAACAGACTGCTGAGTAAGAAGGTGGATATTGACTTGAACTCTCATATGAGGGTAGAATTTAAAAGATTATTTGGGTATTTATTCACCTAATCAAAATAAATTCACTGATCACCTACTATGTGCCAGATTGTGTAGGACATCCTATTAATAAAAGACAAAAAGGGTAATTGACCATACCTTTGCTACGCTTCCCATTGGCTAATCAGGGTGATATGCAAATTAACCACCAACCAAGATGGCGGCCGGCAGCCACACTGCTGAAGCGAACAGGAGCCTTGCTTGCTCCAGTGATGGAGGAAGCCAAGGTTCCCCACCTGCCGTGGCCCGGCTCTAAGCTCTGAAAGCAACAAAGTTTCAATTATAGAAGCTAAACAAACCCCAGATACCTGCTTTCAGC